CTATCTATCTATCTATCTATCTATCTATCTATCTATCTATCTATCTATCTATCTGTTGAGGGGGGTGGAAAACTCCACACTGGCAACAAGAAGGGCATCCGACCAGTAAAAACTCAGCTCCATTCAGTTTCCCATGGGGTCATTAAAAGAAGACAGATGATTGCAGGAATATTAGGCTGTGGGAAAACGGGACTCAAAATGTTCATTTGAACACCTTCAATTAAATTTCCTTCCTTCCTTCCTTCCCGTAGCCTGTGGGACAAGTGGTTGCTGGGGACTACGAATCCAAGAAGCCCCATTCGGTCACACCAGGTAGGTGACCCAGCCCTGAAGTGGGTGCCAGTCAGTTAAATCTTGCTGGGGGTGGGGGGATTCTGGGAGTTGAAGTCCACACGTTTTAAAGTTGCCAACTCCTTCCCTTGAAATGACATTATACAGAGCATTTGTTGCACATCAGGACAGCTAGACACAAGGGCAGTTTTTCCCCGAACGCCATCACTCTGCTAAAAAATAATTCCCTCAACACTGTCAAAATAACTAAGACTGGATTACTCTTCTTCTTCTCATCCTTACTACAGTACCTGTCTCTTCCCGCTTATGGCTCTATCCATGTTGCTTTTATCTTTACAACTTATAGTATTTTATTTGTTTTCCTGGTATGATTTGATTGCTTATTAGTAACCCATGACTATCGCTAAGTGTTGCATCTTATGATGTTTGATGAATGTATCTTATTTTTTCTTTATGTACACCGAGAGCATATGCCAAAAACAAATTCCTTGTGTGTCCATTCACACTTGGTCAATAAAGAATTCTATTCTATTCTATTCTATTCTATTCTATTCTATTCTACTCTACTCTACTCTACTCTATTCTATTCTATTCTATTCTATTCTATATTCTATTCTATTCTATTCTATTCTATATTCTATTCTGTTCTATATTCTATTCTATTCAATTCTATTCTGTATTTTCTCTTCTATTCACTATTCTCTTCTATTACCTATTCTAGTCTATTCCATTCCATTCTTCCCGATTCTATTCCAATCCATTCTTCATTCTATTCTATTCTATATTCTATTCTGTATTTTCTCTTCTATTTCCTATTCTCTTCTCTTCTATTCCATTCCTTTCTTTCCTTATTCTATTCTATTCTATTCTATTCTATTCTATTCTATTCTATTCTATTCTATTCCTTATTTATTCTATTTCTATTCTATTCTATTCTACTCTACTTTGTTCTGCTCTGTTCTCCTCCTTATTCTATTCTATCTTCTATCTTCTATTCTATTCTGTATTTTCTCTTCTATTCGCTCTTCTCTTCTGTTTCATTGCTTTCTTTCCTTATTCTATTCTGTTCTGTTCTGTTCTAAACTTTTAAGAAGCGTGGGACTTCAACTCCCAGAATCCCCCCCCAGGCTTAGAGGCTGCTTTCACAGGCTGGGGCTTTTCTATCTGTGGGGAGGTTTCTCATTCCATTCTGTCCTCCCTCCCGTCCCCCTTGCAGGCAGGGATCGGGGCCCTCCTGGGCGCACCGAATTCATGGTGGACCCTTCCTACGTTAACGTGCAAAACTTGGAAAAATTGCAGCCGGGCCTGCAGAACGCCACCTCCAACGGGAGCGTCCAGAGGGACCTCTTTGACATGAGTGAGTCGCGGGAGGGGGCGAGGGAGGGTCTGGCAGCCCCCTGCGCAAGGTAGCCCTCGACTTGCAATGGTCCATTTAGTGACCGCCCGAAGTTATAAGTGCACTGATCTTCCAAAGGGCAGGCAAGGAACAAGGCATTGAAACTGATCCGGGAGAGATTCAACCTCGAAATTAAGGGGGAATTTTCTGACAGGGACAACAATCAACCCATGGACCAGAAGTTGCCCTCAGAAGTTGTGGGAGCTTCATCCCTGGAGGCTTTTAAGAAGAGACTGGACTGCCTTCTGTCAGAAATGTTGTAGGGTCTCCTGCTTGGGCGGGGGGTTGGACTAGATGACCTACAAGGTCCCCTTCCAACTCTTCGTCATTCTGATTTTATGACCGTTTTCCACACTTAGGACTTTAGCAGCACCCCCATGGTCACGCGATCCAAATTCAGACGACACTGGGCCACTGACTCATATTTATGACGGTTGCAGTATCTCCCGGGGTGGGGGGGTCACGTTGATCCCCTTTTGCGACCGTCAGACCAGCCAAGTCAACTGTAGGAACCAGATTCGTTTAATAACCCCGTGTTGCTAACTTAACGACAGCGGTGTTTCCCCTTTTAACAACTGGGGCAGGAAAGATTGTAAAACGGGACGTGGGGAGAGAGAGAGAGAGAGAGAAAAAACTCACTGGTCTCACTTAGCGACAGAAATTTCAGGGTCCGTTTTTTGGTCAGAAGTCGAGAACTACCTGTAACAGACCACTCCTAATGGCGGCTTTCATTCCCCACCTTCCCCAGAGCCTTTTGAGGATGCCTTGCGGGCACCCCCGCCGCCCCCTACTCCTCCCTCCCACCCGCCAGCTACCATGGAGGAGCAACTCCGGCGAGAACCGTGGTACCACGGTCAGATGAGCCGCAAAGAATCGGAGAAGCTGTTGCAAGCCAACGGGGATTTCCTGGTGCGGGAAAGCACCACCACGCCGGGCCAGTATGTGCTCACCGGGTTGCAGGGTGGACACCCTAAGCACCTACTTCTCGTCGATCCGGAGGGAGTGGTAAGTGGGCGGTATTTTGGGGATAAAATCTGTTTTGTCAGCGGATAAAATAGAAGGAAAAAAGAAAAATGGGCAATTGAGGGAAGGAAAAAGAAAGAGGAGGGGAGGAAAATACGAGGGATTAAAGAAAAAAAAAGTGTTGACTCCCCACGCTTTTTAGCAGAGCACAAGATAGCATTACAATCTCAACTTTTTTTATTTAGTCTACTTATTGTCACTGCACCTCGTGCCACAAAATCAAACACCCTCTTCAGTGCACATCATGACCATGAAAATAAAACACAAATACACATCCTTCACATTCTATGCACTTGAGTTGAAAATCCCTGATATTGCTGTTAATATCGCACTACCCAGTAGAATTCAACAGAGCTACTGCCCTGAATAGAAGCTGTTTTTCAGCCTATTCGTCCTTGTTTTTATTATTATCCTGTACTGTCTTCCAGATGGTAATAGTTTTTTTTTAAAAAAAGGGATTCCCAGGTTGAGATGGATCTTTGAGAATGTTTTGAACTTGCTTAAGGCAGCGAGAGCTCTAAAGCTCTTCCAAAGAGGGGAGAGGGCAACCCAGGATCTTCTGGCCAATGATGTTAACCCTCTGGAGGGCTGTCCTATCTGCCCCTGTGCAATTGGCAAACCACATACAGGTGCAGGAAGTTAAAATACTCTCTGGTGCAGTGGTAGAAGGTCACCAGCTGTCTTCCATTCAGTTGTTGTTTTCTGAGAAGTCTCAGGTAGTATCACCTCTGCTGGGCCCTTTTGACCAGGTGCAATATGAGCACCCCATGTCAGGTCCTCTTTTATGGTAACAAAAATTACCACAATGTGTTGTGCTGTGCTCACCACCCTCTGTAAAATGTCCTTCTATCCACGGCTGTCAAGCCAGCGTACCACACCTTCATGCAATCTGGGAGGACGCTTTCTATTGTGGAAATTTGTATATATATATGCGTGTGTTTCCCATCCAGGTTCGGACAAAGGATCATCGCTTTGAAAGCGTCAGCCATTTGATCAGCCACCACATGGACAATCGGCTGCCCATCATCTCGGCCGGCAGCGAGTTGTGCCTACAGCAGCCCGTCGAGCGGAGACAGTGAGCATGACAACCGGAGTCACATCACTACAAACGCCCTTCTAGCGGGGGACTCCTTTCGTCTCTTTTCTCCCCAGTCCTATGGACGTCTTCAACAGCTGCTAAAAACAGGCTGTCTCCTTTGCCAAAGCATTTTCTGGGGTCGAAGGGACTCGGATGAGCACCAAAACCCTATCATGCCCTCCCAGACCACCTCTCTCTACATCTTGCCACGGCCCGGCTTTCCCTGGTTGGGAGTGAAGCACCGCCTAGCCAACGTTCTAGTCCTCGGTGAGAGCGGTCTGGCCTCGGTTTTGTCGATGACGCTCAAGACAGAGCGTCCTTCTTGCCTTGGACAACTTTTGTCTCCTCCACTTGACTGTTCAGAATGGACGGGCGATATTTCATGTGCCACGCAGCACCTCGTTATGTCTTCTGCCAGGTGCGACGGATGCCAAAGTCCCTGTGAAGGGTTTTATTTCGGGGAGATTATTGCTCAGAAGCACAAAAAGGGGAAATAAAGGGCAATTCGTTTGGGTCTGGAAGGCAGAATCCTCTCTCTTTGCTGCCCACAGACCTCGCGCTCCCGCATTTTTATATATGTTCTCTGTGCCTTGAACCTTTTTCAGGTCAGATTTTTATGCAAAATTCCTCTTGCTCTGGAGATTCTCACAAGGCTGCCTGTTTTTTTAAGGGGGAAGGGGGCTGCAGGATGGAGAAAGGGGCAGTCCTTTCTCACTCGCTTCCTTCTGGATCCGTCAGGGATGCCTCCTAATTTATCCCCTTCCTTTTTTCTCCCCACTTGCAAAAATCTAGGCTAAGCACCCCTCTCTGGATTAAGGGATGTTTTCCTGAATTTTGGGATAGTTTCCAAGATGGTTCCAAAACTAAAGCAAGCCCGCCCCCGCCCCCCCAAAAAAACCTGAAAAGAAGGGGGGAAAAATGGGTTTGTCTTCCAGCGCTCAGGCTGGATCCCTTCCGAGTTTCTTCTTGGGGTCTGTACATAAGTTTTGATAATTTGGTGTTGCATGTATATTGTTATACTCGGAGGCCATTGTGTAGCTTTACTCTCTATCACTGTGCCTGTCCCTGCCACTGTGCGGGACGCCTGAGCCCACCTCGGCCCCTGCTCTCCACATCCTTTATACACACTTTGTATTGGTTTGATTTTCTCTCGAATATACCAAAGGAAATCAAATAGTTATTATTAAAGGTTGGTATTTCTTTAGCCTGTGGCTGCTGGGTGCCTCTTTTTTTCCTCTCCGGGGAAGGAGAAAGAGAAAGAGAAAGAAGGAAAGGAAGAAAAGGAAGAGAGAAGGGGAAGGAAAGAGGAGAAAAAGATTAGAAAAGAAAGAAAGGAGAAGGAGGGAAGGAATAAATGAGGGAGGAAAACGGATACAAGGAAGAAAGGAGAAGGGGAAAGGAGGGAGAAGAAGGGAAAGGAGCAAAAAAGAAAACAAAGATGGGAATGAAAAAAGTAAAAAAAGGAATGATGGGAGGAGAAACGATGGAAGAAAAAAGGGAAAGGAAAAAAAAGGAAGGAAGCAAAAATAAGAAAAGGAAGGAAAGAAGAGAAAGAAAGGAGGGAGAAAGAAAGAATCAGAGACTCAAAATGGTTGAATCTATGTTTATTTTTTCCTGCCATGAGCTTCAAATTCAGCAACGTCATCAACCCTAGACGCAAAACAGCGCCGGTGAGTGACGTCAGCGCCGCTCTTGACGCCCCATCCGCCTTCTAAAAGGCGGCTTTTCGTCTCGAACCATAGAGAGGCGGGAGGCCGGCGCCCAGAACAGGCGGACGAGGGAAAGCCCGCCTCCAAGAGGTCGCCCGCCACCGGAAGCGTGGCTTTTCTTTCTTCCCCCGTCCCCTCCCCCTTCTCCTCCCCTCTATCAGCTTCCGCTTCCGGCTCGCGTCGTGATGGCGCGGCCTGGGCCTCCGGGCCCTTCGTAGCCGCGTCGCCGTCCGCGCCCGCTCGCTTCTTATGGCGGCCCCTCACCCCGACAAGCTGGAGGGGGGAGTAGGCCTCGCTCCGCCTGCTCCGGGTCCGCCGCCTCCGCCGCTGCCTCCGCCTCCGGGAAGCCTCGCCACAGGCCCAGGCCGCAAGCAGGGCAAGGCCGGTAAGGGAGGAGCGGGGTGGGTAGGTGGGGGGTATGTGTGGTTGCCATGGAGACAAGAGGCGGCGTTGCTAGGGAAAGGGGGTCCCGCCTGACTGGGGGTGGCGGGGGGGGGGGGG